TTAAATAATCTTTGGCTCTGCTAAATGCTAGAAGCAGACTTTATTGCCTCATATACTACCCTTGACCACTTAATTAACTACCACAAAAGCTAATTAGTTAGACATCACAGTCTCTAATCATTGTGGAATTTGCTCTGTTATGTTCAGATGGAATATCCTCTTTCCTCAACAGACCTTCTAAAGTTTAGATGAACACAATAAAGCACTCCGGGTTTTTCATTCTCGTTTTTCCAGATACTCAAAATCAGAGTGTGAATATTTAGACTGATTTTATTACAGACTTTCCCTATTTAATTCTGTCTTTACTACAATGGATGTTTTTGTGAGCTCAGAAGGCTTGGAAGGCCTGTTTTGGTGTTAGTGTTCTAAGATTTTAATCTAACATTGGCAAAAAATCACTCTTAAGAAGTTAAGAATTCCAGCAGCTTAACTCAATGACTGCCTACTGCTGATACATCACAACGTGCATGTCACATGCATAGGTATTTTATGAAGTGACTTATCTATTAAACTCAAAAGCTGTACCTCCAAAATTTTAAACTGTTTTGTTAACAAGATGCAGCCAGACTATAAAGTCAGCCAGTGTATTGTGGTGGAATGAAAGTACCAATGAAAAACAAGCTGATAAATTGCTTTGACTAATCATTAAAACCCATCCAGTATAATCATTTTAGCTGATCTCGTTTAAGTCATTCCGTGAAGCTGCCAAGAGAGTTCAGGGACAGGTCGATCTCCTCGCACCATGCAAGGATCAGGCAGATAAAATCCAATCAGTTACCTGACCATTCTTGCATTTATATGTAATTATTCCCTGTTGTTTTAAAGCTTCCATCTGGAGGAAAGAAATCTGTTCTGCTCCTGACCTTTTCAAACCTCATGTCACTGTATTTAGCTTTAACAGATGGATTCTATTGATATGATATGAAAATAGAAATAAAAGATTGAAAACGTGAAAAGAGTGGAAAAATGTAGAATCATTAAAGCCTTGAATCACTGCTAAGTGCAGGTCAGTGGGTGAATCTTCACTGGATTCATGGGTCAGTGGTCAGGCCTCACAGTTTGTTCCCACCCTAAACTGCAGAAGAATTAAAAAGACTCTATTAAGAAGGTGACTGGCACTATGTTCCTCTGAGTCAGTAAGATGAGGAAGCACTGCTAACACACACTGTATCTCCAAGGTCATGACAACTCCTAAGAGACAGCTGTAGTTTAAAGCAGGTACCAGTTCTGAACACTCAGATCTACCTTGTGGCAGCAAGAGCAATGGATCTGATCAGTGCAGATTTCTGCACAGGAGCAGAATTCTTCCTATCTGTGCATGTTTTTTCTTCCTGCTTTTGGTCAGACCAAGTAAATCAGCCATAATTTTCTTAAGATTCATATACAAAACACTTCAAGACAAGGGCTTATTCGTCCTCCGTTAAAAAAATATGGAAAAATTAAAACAGTCAATTAGGATAATGAAAGAAGTTCTCAGAACAATACACATGTGAACTGGCTAGTCACAAAGAAAGGAAGTAACTAAACTTCTGCAACAGATGTACTCAGCTTGAGCATGAATTTTTTGCTTGAAGAGTTAACGGGTGAAGAAACATTTCTGAATCGTAGAAATTGAGAGGAAATTCACAGGAAAATCGGCGAAACCTGGTTCTTTGTCCATGGTTCAATTCACTTTGTCTACTTTATGAAGATAATCTGCAAGGCAGGATGCTTGGACTGCTGGATGCTGCAGGTTAATCTAAGCCTACACAGTCTGAAGTAAGCTACAGCAGCACGAGCTCCTGGCTGTGTTCCCAGGACAGTACAGAGCAGAGGAAATTTGCTCATAAGGCAACCTTGTCCTCCCCACATACCCATCTTAAGATTCATGATTATACATTTTAGGTTACTTCATGTTTTTACACTATAAAATAGGGAGACAAAGATATATTTCCATAACTGTCTTAAAAAACACTACCCCAGCATTATGTTCACAGTTTTCTGCATTTTATAACTGTTTTTGTAATTTGAATAACTCCTCATTGCAGCTTCACCTTTCCAGGCACTGCACATTCAGATGTTAAAAATGTATGATATGTACATTTTTTCAGTAACTGATTTGTATGTTATAACACGACAGCAAATAAATTTTTTCAGCATGCAACAAGAACCAATTACCTACTCATTCAGACATACATGCATTTCTGAAACCTGCTGAGATCTGCATATTTTGTGACAGTAGACACCAAGTCAAACTACATATGAAAACAGAAGAGAGACTGCAGAACATTGTGATTTGGTATTATCAAATTGGTAATTGGTGTTTTGGTATTCTCAATGCATATTTGCATAATCATGCTCCCGTTGGACCTCTGTGGCAAAATGTCTGTGCACTGTCATCATCATGAGCTTTCCAAAAACAGTCAACATTACCAAAAGAAGGATAAAATTCCTTCAGACTGCAAGAAATTAGTAACGCAGAAAGAACAAGAATACTGCTTCAAGCTCTTCTACTCCAAGTGTCCAGGAAGAATTTCTACGTCCATTATACAAAAAAACCTACCTTTCCAAAAAAAATCCTGTCAAAAGAAAAAAAGACATACCCTTTGGAAATTATCCTGCAGTTTGTCACCTAACCAGCAACTTTCCTGCATTTGGAATGTCTTGCTGCTATAATAGTTGCCCTCACTGAAAATTGATTTTTATTCAAATATTGGATTGGAATCACACTTCAATTGATCTTGATCTCATAATGTATAACTGCCTCTCAGCTGTCAGTTCCTATTTTCTGCTGTTTCATAGTTACAATTTTGCTGAATACAATAGAACAGTATTTATTCTGTCCAGACAGGAATTACTTTTTAGTTTTCTTTTGGATCAAAGATAAGGGGAAATAAAATAAAATTTTTTAAAAAAAGGAAGCATTTAACATTATTAATAAGAAGGATGAGACTGTTTCCTGTTATAGTCTTCCTGTTTAAAAAAACCCCTACATACCCTATCATTACATTATGGCTACAGCTACCAAGTGATGTGCTTTCCTTTATTGTTTCTTGCCCTTAATATTATTGAGTATTATTAATCAGTTGTCTGTTATTATCTCACTGCTGCCTTTCACTGCAGCAGTGGTTCCATACCATTGAGGCCTAAGCAGTTCCTGCATGTAGTGACTTTTATGTAAATAGAATATGGTTAAACTCACCAGCTTAAACTGAGAAGTAACAAATCTCAGCTGTAAGATCTATAAACCAGACAACTTCTGGAAATTATATTCACCTTATATTTAAGAAATTCAGTAATTATTTCGCCCTTGGTCAATCTCATGCTTTGTGCCATTTCTGGATAAAGCAGTTTGAAATCTTGAGTTATTTACACAATGGTCAGCAACGCGTTTAAGTTTTAAAGGCTTTTTTCTCTGTTAACATAAACTAGCACAACTCAGCTGAGGTAAAAGTGCCATTGATTAATCAGGCAAAGAAAAAGCCAATTCTCCAATACATTCACGATCCAATTTTACAGTTGTCAGCTGTCAAGATGCCTAAAACTGGCCAGCTGTTCAAAAGCATGTGGCCACATATGAAGATGGTCGGTGTGCTACTAAGAAACAGGTGAGGTCAAAGGAAACTTTTATTTATTGTATTATTCCTGCTATTTAAAAAAAATACTTTTTCTAGAATAGTGATGAAATAAAATTTTATAGTTGTTCAAGGCTTTTAATTGTGACTGTGGAAGCATTTTATGTTTTTGAGGGTTACTTGGGGAGTTTATTTAATATGCATGAATAATAAGGAACAGGTTTGCAAAAAAGAAGTAGAAAACAATATTATTTAAGGAAGGATCTGCATTCATTCCTTTTCCTTTCCATATCTGGGCTGCCCAGTGTCTGGTTTCTGGAACCTGTGCTGTTTCTGCACCAGTGCCTAAGGTTTATTTGGGGAGGGGAGGGAGAAGGACTGCTAATGATCTCCCAGAGATAAGTGAAATTGCTGATTTAGTGAAGCTCATTCTTGACCTTGACACAAGATGGGACAGGCAAAGGGAAGAGCTCAAAATAGAGCAAGTGAAATAGGGGAAGATCAAACAAGTGCTCAGGTCTGGCCAAGACCCCCCCTACATTCAGCTAACACCTGGCTGAGTTAGAAAACATGACCAGCCCAACCTTCCTGTTGGAGCCGATTGAAGCTGTCAGCTCCTGGCTTGTCACCCACTGCATCAGGAGGCCCCTGGCCTGCCACAAGAGCCCTAATTAGGCAGAAATGGCACTTGGGCAACTGACCCGCCAGGACCTTTGGCAAAGCATTTAACATCATTAGTTAACATTTTTATTAAAAAAAGTGTGAATGTAAATGAACAGCCAGTGCATTTCAATAGGGTTTGTCGGTGGCACTGCACGCCCCCCCACTCTCCCAACCACACACACACTTTTTTGCATGAATAGTTCACTTGTTTTCTCTAAAGGGGGATGGGGAGGTAGAGACTGTTTTTCCAAGGGAACTAGACATGTTCAAAGCAGAAGCAAGGTCTTAAACAACCAGACACAAACTCTTGCCTTTTGGGAAGTGTGTGAGTGAACAAACAGCTAAATGCAATCCTACCTGCAACATGCCTGAGGGGACATGCATAACCCACAGTAGAACAGAGACAAACACAGGCCCATATTCACCTGATTGTTCTAAGCGTATTCATTGTAGTTTTGTTGTTTTCTGTTACATCCAAGAATAGGTACCTAGCCCAGTAAGCCTGTAACTGTTTGCCACAGCTATCAAACGCTATAGCAACGTAAAAGGATGAACGTCTAAGAATATGCAGTTCTCATCTTTCTTTGTAATTTCTTTAATTGTTGCACATTACCTGTGACAGAAGATTTTTATACCACTCAAGCATATTAGCAACTTACCTTAATTAAGTCCCCACTAGCAGAAATCTGTGAAAAGTTATTTATTCATACAGAAGAGTAATGCAGCCTTGAGACAGTTATTAGGACTCAGTTTTTTTCTGCAGGCTCTTTAACTGAAGAGTTTCTCTAATTTATCAATATCTGACTAAAATCCTGGCACAGATTTTGGAGATAAGAGACACAAGAAAATTAAATTATTACAAACACACTTTCTAGTAAAGAACTGGACAGGACTTGGAAAGGTGTACAGTCCTACTGTATACAGTACTGTGTACAGTCCTAATATATTAGGTCTACTCTGTACAAACATGCCCCAATCCCAAGGAACTCATTAGCTCCTTCCTCCTCCAATGGAAGCTACAAATTGTTTCACTAGGGCTGCTTCCTTAAGCCAGATAAAAACTATATTACCTCAGATTTTGGAATTTTCTCCCTCTATCTGTAACAGCCATATGTTATCAGCAACACTTTTGTTACACCAAGGATTTTTTCACTACCTGCTAGCTGCATGTAATATCATTTATTCTAAAATAACGTACAAATGTAGTAAGAGATTAACATAGTCCATGCAAGGATTTGGGATTAAGGTACTGAAGATGCTGGTTCAAACCCCAGCTCCTCAGTCTTGCTCTGAGCCAATGGAAGGTTATACCTTTTCTCAGAATAAAGCTTTAAAAAGTGAAATAACAGTATTGTCATTTTCTCACACATTGGCCTACCCAGAGGTTCCAGTCCCTTGCTGTTTCCAAGCCATGTCCATCAGGGAAACAAAACCCCAAAATCTGGCTATGCATCTGTCCTAATTTCAGCTGGGATAGGGCTCATTTTCGTCCTAGTAGCTGGCACAGTCTGTGGTTTGGATTTAGTATGAGAATAATGCTCGTAACACACCGATGTTTTAGTTTTTGCCAACTAGTGCTTGCCCTAAGTCAAGGGCTTTTCAGTTTCCCATGCTCTGTCAGTGAGCAGGTGCACAAGAAGTTGGGAGAGAGCACAGCTGGGACAGCTGACCCCAACTGACCAAACGGATATTTCAGACCGTAGAACGTCATGTGCAGTTTGTGCACTGGGGGGAGTTGCCCAGGAGTCCCTGATCGTTGCTGGGGGATGGGCTGGGTATAGGTCAGTGGGTCATGAGCAATTATATTCTGTATCACTTGTTTCCCTTGGTTTTTATTGCTCTTTCTCTTTGTTACCTCCCTTTTCATTATTATTAGTAGTATTAATGTTAGTATTATTATTATATTCTACTTAATTTCAATTATTAAACTACTCTTATCTCAACCCACAGGTTTTACCTTTTTTCCAATTCCCCTTCCCATCCAAACAGGGGCAGGGGGAAGAGTGAGCAGCTGTGTGGTGTTGAGTTGCTGGCTGGAGTTAAGCAATGACACCACCTTATTGCTGCTTGTTCAGTTTGTTAAATAAGTCAACCTTCCTCCTCAACCCTGAACGCAGTACAGAGGGAGATTCCACACATCACCTGACTGGGAAAACCAGAAGACCATGTCTTCATACAGGTGCCTCAAAAATCTGTCATTCTATAACAGAGAAAACAAAAAGACTGTTACACACATACATGGTACACAGGAATATGCTCAAACCCACAAGGATTGTCTGCTCACAGGGTGGGTAAAACCCTCTCCTTTGAAAATTATTTGGGATCTACAGATTGTAAGATGCAAGTTCATACTCTCGTGTGTGTGTGTATGTGTATGTATACACAAACAAGTGCTTTCATTCTCTTTTTAAACAAGTATGTGTAGCCTTTGAAACAACATGGAATTCGAGATATAGATTTGTAAAGCACAATACTAAGTTGAGAAATCCATTTAGGAAGCCCGACTTGACCTTTTGACTAAACTGTGAGAGCAAGTGAGCAGCTAATTTTGGCAGTAATTAAATAATTGTTTACCAGTGAATTAAAAGAAAGACAAAATTCATGCCTTTCTTTCCAGAGCAGAAATAGGAAGAGATAAATATTAAAAATATGTGTTGGCTGACAAGGTGACTTGCCTATCCCCATGATTCTGTTTTTTAGAGGTCTTTAGCTTAAAAGCACTATCAGCAAAAAAGAAAAAATGCTGTCTAGGAACTGCCCAAAAAGCTCAATCATACCAGGCTCAGAAAGTTGGTAACTGTAAAGTGTCTGTATGTCACCCCTTTTCCCATCACATGACTATTTTCCAGTCTAGTTCTTCAGTATGGCTTCTCCTCTCCTGCTGGGAACTTGAGGGGTGGGTGAAGGGAGAGAGAGGTGACAGCTTATTGAAAAGCTAGTGCTCCCTGTCTAGTTTTGGCACATTTTCTGCAGGTGCCTCGCACTATAGCCACAAAAGGCTCTAGAAGAGAGGATTCAGACCTGTCAACAGCTACAGGAGGCAACTCCACAGCTTTGTCTTACAGGGTAACTTCATTGTCTGCTGTTCTGAACCCCAGCACAGGCACCCACTAACGAGATGAGCCCCTTTTCCCTCTATTGGTTCCTTCCTCTGTTTCTCTTGCCTTTCTGTAATGATTTAACTTGATCGTATTGGTTCCTTTCTAGTGAGGATTGCTCCAACAATCAGATAAGATAATTGCCTGCAGAATACTGCTCAGCAACAACTATTACTTCCTTTGTTGAAAATGTCAGAGCAATTGAAAGCTCTTAGTGAAGTTCAAGAACAAGTAAGCAAAAAAGAAGCAGCTCCTGTTCGTGGATGTATCTGTGTGTATATTTAGCAAGTTTGCAGTGGCCAGCTCTCCTGGATGATCTTGCTTTATAAGCAACACTTTGAGCATATTTTATATTTTTATGACCTTTTTAAGAAGCTGAACAATATAAACATATGCACCCTAATCCTCACGAGGAAGCATTTCTCTCATTTACTTCTGATTTATATGGCATTTACTTCAGCTTTGGAAGACAATGTTATGGAATCACCTGGTCTCCATTTTCCCCACTTCCCATTCCATTTCTTAGGAACCAAACTAATGCAATTCCTTTTTAACCTTAAAATACTGTCTCCATACAGGAGATCTCAGGGAAAGCCTGGAGTGGAGTTATTAAATAGTGCTGTGAATTTAATTCCCTTTTGATTTAGTCACTTGCTAGCAACAGTGACTTTCCAAATATTCAAACGAGACCATGTTCAGTGTAGCTCTGCTCTGTAGCTTTACAAAGTGACAGCTGGTAGAAAAGTGCTACACCAAGAAAAGGTCATGTAATTATCACACTCCAAATCTAATACAATTAAAATACCAGAAATAGTTCAGGCTACTATTTAATTCACTTCTTCACCTGAAACACATGCTGCCACTGCTAACAAACACAATTCAAGAGCGCACCCACAGACATTATGTTTTTTTATCACTAAAGTATGCAGGCTCTAGAGATTTTGGATGACATCAAGATCTCCATCTACTTGACTGACAGTACAAATAAGCAAGAAAAAATCCACACATTCAAAAATTTATTCAGAGCACAGTTGGAAAAACTGCACAAAGCCTCATCCTTTGTCCTTTTTCAAATCACATTTTTTCTACACTACCTGTGCACTGTCACCAATAATACACTATCACACAGTCATAGCCATCAATTCTTTTTACTGTTAACTCCATAAAGAATAAACAGCTTTTGAAAGCTTTTTAGAGTTCTGTGAAAAGGAGGGAGAGCTGGATCAGCACTGGATCACTATGGGTTATTTGTAGGGAAATTCCTTATTCTCTGGTAAGGAACTCCAACATAGGAAACTACATGATATTTGTTTTTGTAGCATCACTGGATGACAATCACCCAAATCTGTCTCTTATATCTGGAGAGATACAGGCTCCAGCCTTGCAGTATAATTCAGCCAGACTTGCACTAGTTTAACTACTTCAGAGCCAGATGCACAACTTGTTCATGCATTGGATATTTCAGAAACTGAACACTATTTTAGAACTAATTTCATGGCTAAATTTTGTTATATAGAGCTACATTCAGTAGGGCTTGCTCCCTGATAACCTGAATGAATTACAGCATAGGTATCCAATTAAACTAAACAGTGATTTCTAAAGTCCACTTTATAACTTACTCTGAATTACTTTAAAGCTTTTGCTGGATGGTATGTTTTACAGCAGTGAAGTAAGGATTCAGCAGACATATGAAATATAATTTCCTCTTTCTCTTTTCACAAAACTCAATAATTGCAAGAGGCACAATTTTTTCAAATAGTGTCAAAAATAGACTTGAAATTCTATCTAAAATTTTAACATCAGGAACTGTGACACGGGAAACTGAGAGTAACTGATATCTCTTTGTGTCTGAAGCTCAGGCTAGCAGTCTGATTCTAGAGCCCTTGACACAAACTCACACTTTCTAGAGAAAAGCTGGAAGTGGTAATTGCTACTGATGCTTGTCCTGAAACAACATGGCCTTTGAATGAATTCCCTTTACAGGGCAGACTAGTGCAGTACCTTCACAAACACTTCATGGCAGTCCTGAAAAAATGACCATTTATAAGTAGGAAGCACAAAAGAAAACCTCTGCTATCTTCTGACAAGGAGGCAGGGAATGTAAGACGTTCCTGTGCTCTTTTTCTTGCTTCTTATAGTCAATGCTCACAGAATATGGGTAGAATTAAAACACAAAACTGAGAGCTATGCTGTTTATTACTGCCTGCAAGCAGGCAGTAATCCATCTCAAATTAAAGCCTAAAAGCCTTTCAACTCATATGTCACGTGCTTGATATACACAGGAGGTGAAGAGTAGAGGATCCAATAGTCTTTCGTGGATTTAAGCTTGTAAGTGCTAGGATGCCATTTAACCTTTAAAACAGAGCAAGAGTTAGCACGTCTCAAAATAATTTCATTGTGTTAATTATTTATACACAGCTTGCACTACCAGAATGTTCTATTTTGTGTATGATGGACTGCTTCCCTCCTCATGAATGAAGCAGGTAACTGAGAATGAATATACTGGCACAGTCAGAAAACATAAAGGTTTTTTTACCTTTACTTTACACTCTGACAAATACAATTGTGTGCATTTGGTACTACTTTTGGCTTAATCACTAAACATCAGCAGTTGACAAAAAATACATCCTCCTCCTTCTCTGAAGAAAATGGTGATTTTTATGATGGATAATTGGACACAATAGCTGTAGTGATTGCTTGCTGGTTGAAGCCTGGTTGATGAGTTACATACTGTCCTTCTCATTGCTTAAGGTTGTCGCGACGAGGGAAGAGAGAGACGCTCAATATGAGAATCAGCAAACTTCGTTTATTGATCACTGCTAACAGCTTAATATACGCTTTATAATTAGCTCATACATATTGCAAAAGCTAAGCTCATTATTGGTTCTTGCTTAAATGTTGATTTCACTTTTACTCCCTTCTTTTGTTGACACAGGTGGCTCTCAGTTGCTTTTGTTTTGCTAATCACAACGTCCTGTTTACCAGCCAACTAGCACGTACAAGGGCACTGTAGTCTTGCCATGGCCTTGCTATCTCAGATTTTCTCATCAGCCTAGACAAGCTGTGATCCATGCTCTAACAGCTCGTCCATAGCTTTAGCTATATCCATATGTCCTTGCCCTGCTAGCTAATCCTCTACATAAGGTACATTTCACAAAACATTATCTTCTGCCTGTTCTAGAGGGTTTTCTGCCAAAAAACTCTTTTTATCACTTCCTCCCTTTATGTTGCTTTCATTATCTATATGTAAGAAATGGAGATTAGAAAGCAGCAGTTCTGTATAAAGGTACACTCCTCTCAGCACAACATCCAGCGAGTAGGCAATGTTTCCAGTAGACAACATGTATGTTTTCTAATAAATATACAAATCCTGACAGAAATTGAGAATCTGACACTGAAGTCTATTCTTAAATACAATTCCAGTTATGCTCCATTGACCTACAACTTTTCTTACTCTAACATAATGAAATACACCTTATCAATCCACCATAACCAAACAGAGTTATGCAATTCCATCAGTGCAATTAATGCAAGAAAGAGATGGACTTACTGGAGTGAGTCCTGTGCAGGTGATTAAAGGACTGGAGTGTCTTTCGTAATAGGAGAAGTTGAGACAGCTGGAACTCTTCAGTCCAGAAGAGAGAAGGCTCAGGGAGCAATCACCAATGTGTATAAATACTTGATGGGAAGGAATGAAGAGGAGGAAGCCAGACCCCTCTCAGTAGTTCCCACTGGCAAAACAAGAAGCAATGGGCACAAATGTAAAACTAGTACATTCGGTGTAAGATAAAAATACAATATTTGCTGTGAGTGTGGTCAAACACTGGAGCAGGTGGCCCAGACAGGTTATGGAGTCTCCCTCTCGGGAGATATTCAAAACCTGAATGGTCCTGGGCAAGCTGCTTGAATGGACTCTGCTTGAGCAGGTGAGATGGAGGAGGTGATCTCGAAGGCACTCTTCCAACCTGAATTTCTGTAATTTACATCATAGTATTGCTTCAAGAAAGAGAACAATTTTGTGAAAATTCACTTGAGAGCTGTGCACTTGTGCTCTATCTGAAATACTGTGTTAATATTAAACAGCATTTTCTTCTACTAGTCATCATGTTCATTACCTTATTTATTTTGTATAGTTTTCAATTTTTCTGTAGAACCAAAACTATTTTCCAAACCCATCACATTCAGAAATAGAATATTTCTACCTTTGCTCATATGTATCTGGATCTTGAAGTACATTTATCAATATTTGAAGAAGATAGTGAAGGGAGGTTTTGTATTAGAAGCATTCTCTGTCTCTTATGTTTGTATCAGCCACTGCTTCATTTTAGAAAATAAGTCTGAAACTAATTTGAAATCTGAACTAATCCCCTCTGTGCAAATGTGCCATGCCTGGTTATTTCTCCAACGGTCACATAAACTACAAACTCACCAGACTGACCTCATGGTCACAAAACTCTTTAATTTCAAGCCATTCTGTCAAAATAGCTATGGATTTACAAGTCTCATTGGCTTCCAATGAAAGTCAAAGGTGCTCAAGCTCACTCAAAATCTGCTGCTTTGAGACAAACCTCACAGCTAGCTTTTAATACAATTCTATCAGTACACAAAATTTATAAAAACTGTATTTCATGGATGAATACACCCCCAAGCAGTAACATCAGTCAATAGATTCTTTTCCAACAAAATGAGGTATATTTCATTGCATCACCTGGATGTTATTCAAACATATGGCTGAGTGTCTTACATGGAACTGTATTCTTCAGAACTAAGACTCTGAAAAGATTTTCAGTTTACAATCACACCTACCTTCAAAAATGTGATTTTTTAAGAAGATATACAAGCAATATTTCCTTTTCCTTTTTTTTTTTTTAATTAACTGAGTCTTGAACTGAATGAAATAATTAAAGATAACAATGGAAATAGGGGAAAACAAATTTTATCTCCAAAGCTCACACATTGTTTCCCTAGCCTCAGGGGAACTGTTTAAATCTTGTTTATAAGAGAAAAAGAGTCAAAGTGGTTATAAATGTCCTATAACTTTCATACAAGATTTGAAAATTCTTGGGATGTTGTACAAAAAATACTACAACAGAAGGCTTTTTGAAAAAAAAACCAAACAACATATTTTTGAATTAAAGAAACCTAAATTAGTGAAATGGAAAAAAATTAAGTCAGTTATAAATTCATATGATGTTATGGGTTTATCACAAAATGATAGTCAAGCTTCTGCTCCAGATGGTGCAATAGTGTTTGTGACATCCACTTTGAACTGCAATCTAGTTATGTGTCAAGCAGGAGAGTCCATTATTCACTGCATCAGTGCTGGGGAAAGAAGGTTAAAAGTTCAAGACATGCCCCAAGCGATTAAGGTTGTAAAAATCAGGAGATATACCATGGGGAAAAAAATGCCACTCTTCTTCCATACTCAGTTTGTTTCTAAAAAAAATATGTTTAAGCAAAACAAACAAAGAAACAAACAAAGAAACAAACAAACAAACCTAGAGGATGCAGGAATGCCCAATTTTCTATAGTAAAGTAAAGCAAAAATTACCTTTTTATTTGGACTCCTTAAACCCCTCTGCTATCAGCTTCACTTTTCCTAGAAAGAAACATAAAGGCTTCTGTTAAAATCTGCCCACAAGTTACAGGACTTGAGAACTCAGTTAACAGTATTTCTCACTCCTTGGGACATTCATTTCAACTATTACATACTTGTAGCTAACTCAGATTTCAAACTTTATTTTCCAAGCACCCTCCAGATCACGAGTCCATCTGCACTGGTCAGGATTCACTTCTCGTCGTGTAAGCCTTTGCTCTGCTAACCAGTAACATAACCTACAGAGTGCTTCCAAACACTCCAAAAGCTTCTATATTTGGAACTGGAAGTATTGCTCTCAAATACTTGAGCAAATTTAGGTTTCTAGTCCAATATAAAAGGAAAGAAGAAGATGCAAAGCCTGAGGGGTGAAGCTAAAACAATTTGCATTTAAAAAAAAACCCTTCAGCAAAATTCTTTATAGTGAGATTAATGAACGGATTTTTTTACAAAAAAAAGAAAAAAAGGTGCTTTAATACTCAGAACCTTTGAAAAGGTATGAAGTCATTCTTTTCAGAAAGTTATCTTCTTTCAACAGACAGGTAGAAAAAAGTAGTTCCATTCTAATACATTTTCTGTCTGCTGTTTGAACTACAGGTTCAAACTAGAACATCAAGAAAGCCACTCTGACCATGAAGAGTGATGACAAACAAGAATAAACTCTGCTGATTTATGTAAAAGTAAGTTTTGCTTTATTAGTAGTTATCTAGCCTCAGAACTAGAAAACTGAAGTACATGTTCCCACTTTTCTAACTGTTCATCTGCAAGTTTGATTGCTGGTTTGTATAAATTGCAAATGTATTATGGCCATGTTGCTACATCCTCTTTGAAATTAAGTCAATCCCTCATATGCAGTAACTGATGTATGAGCACACATTATCATGTCATAGAAAATATTTAATACGAATTTCACAGAGACTGATAACATTCAGACTCTGGATATACTTGTGTGTTAACATTTCAGAGTATGATATTGACAATGTACACAGAAAAATCCCTGTAATCCATCATGGCAGGGTCCTAGAACTAGGTAGGTTTTAATAATGCCTTAAAGGTCATAACAGTTACTTCAAAATGCATGAAATCTTGTAGCAAACTCCTGATATCCAAGAATAAAGCCTAGCATTCATGTGCACTACCATTAAAAAAAATCTAAACACCACAAAACCTATTTGTATCACAGAAATTTGAGGGCAATCTTCTGCAAGCTCAAAAACTTGTCTTTAAATAGTGTGTGTTCCAAATCACCTTTAGAGTGATAAATCAAAGCCTCTGAGCTCTCACACTGCAGTTCAGCAGGCTCCTTTGGAGAAGGCCAGGCTCACCCTTGCACAGCAGGAGCTGAACAGACCCACAGGAAGAATCCTCAAACTTTAGAAAGAAATTAGTACTAAAACCCACTCAACTTGAAGGAACCACTGGAGCAGAGAATGATTACTGAAGGCAAATGAACTCTCATATGGGTACTCCGGAAATTAAAATAATAGTGCTGGGGGGGAGAAAGACTTCAATAATTATTAGAAATTTCCAAATATGCAGTATATATATTACTTAAGTTCTTCGAATTTTTTTATCTAGACTCAAAGTCCAGTCTAAATGTGTTCAGCCATGTCCAAGGACAGAATCTTTTGTTTACTCTTACACACATATTTAGTTTTGTTACTGGAGTCTATTCTTTATAGAACACAAAATATTAAAAATTAAAAGAAACACTACAGAAGCATTTTAGATATAAAAAGAAAAAAAAATGAAAATTTCTTTTTTATTTAAGAAATTAAAATGCCTCAAAAGCAGTAATGTACCTGTACAAGAGTACTTGTATCACCAAGCTAACAAGACAGTCCTGATTTTATCAGAAATGTGCAGTTTTTACACACTCAGAGTTGACTTCAAAGAAGACCCTGTCAGTGAAATAAGCACACATTAATCTTCTGTGAAATCCTACAAGAACAGAGATGGCAGTGAAACCATGATTTAAAGGTCAAGTTTATATTTTTAAAGCAGCATTTTAGAACAGCAAAAAGCAAATCCTTCACGCGACGCTTAAGCATGGCATGTTGTACTTGGGTTTAGAGCATGCCAGATTAGCACCACATATTCATACACTCAAAGGAGATACATGTGACAAAAAGAATGCACACAATACAGAATCATAATTGAGGAAAAGCTGATCATAGCAAGAGTTATAGTAAAGGTAAGAGGTGAAAAAGAGTTATGTACAGTTGCTCTCAAAAGAAACATGAGACCCATTTATCTGTGCACCCAAAATACTATGCAATCTAAGAGACTTGGGGGAAAATATGTTGAGAAGACATCAAAATACAGTGTTACTGGACACCTCTAGGAATGTTATGATTGCAATCTTATACATTTTCGTACATTTTTAATGTACATGTTAATATAAGTGAGGCATCTTCATTTTTCAAAGGTCAGAGTTACACCAATCACAGGCTTTTCCTCACTGGGTTTCTTTCTTGGCTCTTGCTACATATACTTTGATTAGAGAGTTTTTAATTACACTTTAGCCTGTTAGCACCATGGAGCCAATAAAACTAAGAGAAATAGAACTAAATTCTTTTCATTCAACACAACTGGTAACTAAACACCAATTAATTACACCCACACAAGCCTAATGAAGATAATGGGGTTGCAGAGAGTTCACTGATGGTATGAAGTGGCTTGCAGTATCCTAACCTTAATCAGTTAACTACTTCGTAATAGGGAGGATCACAGGATAAGCCATCCTCTTTCTACATTCTTACAATTACTGTTAATGGAAATTACATGGCCATACAGATAATTCATGTAGCGTTCACTTGATCATGAACCAAAAATGATAAATACTTGGGGGAATCCCTACTAGTATTTCAATCAGTTTATTAAAAAACAGGAGTTCAGTGTTATTAAATAACCTGAGTATCAATCTGTTTCAGCTCATTGCTTTGCTAAAGGCAAAGCTGGCCAGTTTCTTTTCTTCCAGGGATGCGGCATCCACAGCTTCTCTGGATAACCCGTGCCAGTTCCTCACCACCCTCACAGTAAAGAATTTCTTCCTAATATCTAATCTAAATGTACCCTCTTTCAGTTCAAAGCCATTAGCCTTTGTCCTATCACTACATGCACTTGTAACTCTCTGTCATTCTCGTGGGGGCCCCCTTTGGGTACTGGAAGGGGCTCTAAGGTTTCCCTGGAGTCTTCTTTTCTCCAGGCCGAAAACCTCCAGCTCCCTCAGCCTGTGTCCATAGCAGAGGCGCTCCAGCCCTCTGAGTGTCTTCACTGCCCTCCTCTGAACCCCTTTCGAGAAGGCCCACATCCTTCTCATGGTGGGGCCCCCAGACCTGGATGTAGTGTTCCAGGTAGGATCTCACAAAAAAGGAGTTAAGGGAGAGAATCACCTCCCTTGACCTGCATGACTTCTCAAATATGATTGATAGTGGCTTAGCTACTTGATCCACAGGTTCCCTCAGGACTCACAGATGCATTTCACCACGTCCCATGCACTTGTGCACCTGCAAGTTCCTTAGATGTTCTTGAACATCTCTTAGGCCAGTCTTCATTCTCTCAGTCCCTGACTTTTCCTTTTGCAACTTGGGTGATGCAGCTTGGGCACTTGCCACTGAACACAGAGGCAAAAAAATTGTTAAGTACCTCAGCCTCCTCCATATCCTGGGCAACCAGTTCTGCTGTTTCCTTCCAGAGAAAGCCAACATTTTCCCTAGTCTTCATCTTATCACCACCATGTTCCTTCGCAATGCATTTTATTTAGAGCCCTTTAGAAGGCAAAAGGTGGGAAACTGGTCTAGAGGCCCTTGAAATGTATCAGAAGGTACAGCTCCCGTGATGGGTTGCATTACCTAGTGTGTGATCATGTTCACAGAGCACCACAACAGCACTGTCACCTCTAGAGGTCTGTTCTTCCAGGACTATTTAATTAAACCGGAGCTTTCTGAGGCAAGCCTGTGCATGTGACACGGATCTGGCACTATTTGACTGCTGCCACCCAGCCCTGCGACCGCACAAGCCCCTCCTGAGCAGTTAGGAGCTCAAAGGGCAGCCACCCACCTTGTTAACTCCTTCTGAAGAAAATCTAATGAGGTACTTGCTGCCCACTGTCCTCAAAGGAAGGGGAAGTGTCAGTTTAGAAACTTCTTCCAAGGAAAAGAGGGTTTAACTCTCTGGAGAGGTACTGTACTATTTCTGAAGGATGTGAAAGGAGAAGAAAATGATTCTGTAGGGATTTTTCTTCATTATCACCCCACCTGGAGAAGTGAGCACACAATGAGCAGAGGTCCACACATATTGATTTTAGAGCAGGGGAAGTGTGCAGCTAACAGCTTTTTAAGTATCTCCATTTTCAGGTACTCCAACAAAATTACCGACGAACAATGTAACAAAGTGAAAGTTTTGTAGGAAATTGCAGACTTAAAAAAAAACCCCAAAAAACCACAACCATTTAGGCTGGGAAATGTTTCTTTTCATTGAAAGTAAAGAGCTTTTAAACGCACGAGTTACTGACGCGTTTGGCAGCGTTAGAAATTTCCCAAACCATAATCCGTCTCTCTTTCAGGGCGATAACTGTTATACAGTTTTGTTGCACGGTGACTTTTTAAATCGAGGAGTGCCTGCTCGCGGCATCCTTGGAAGGCCCTGACCGGGCTCTGAGGGAAGCGCGAGCACCGCATGGTGTGGAGGAACCAAAGCGGACCAGGGCGAAACAAAGCCCGGCCCCGCTGGGTCGGGGGGTGTTCCCGGGCGGCTGGGCGAGAGCAGAGCTCTCGGGGCGCGGGGTCGGGCACGGTGCCCAGGGAGGCCGCGGTGCGAGGGAGCGGCGGGGAGGGAGGGAAGGAAGGGCGGCGCTCCCCGGAGCGTTGCCCGGCAGCGGCGGCGGCCCCGCCATGGAGGCGGGCGGGCGGCGGGAGCGGCGGCGGGAGGCGGCCGAGTACTACCGGGGGCAGCGAGTGCCGGAGCGCATGGAGGAGGCGCTGAACGCCCTGTTCCCGCTGAGCCCCGGGGATCTCTACGGGGAGCTGGTAGCGCCGGGAGGGGCAGCGCCTGGAGGGGGCCGGGGGGGGCTGTGCCGGCCCCGCGTCCGGGCGAGGGCGGCGCGGGGGGGGCCGTGAGGGGCTGCCCGCAGTGCCCGACCCCGTCCCCGCCGTCCCTGCCCTCCGGGAAGGGGCGCAGCGAGGAGCTCGACGTCTCTGTGATAATTAAGTGGTTCCCCCCGACTGCGGTGTTTCGGTGTTTGTGGTCAGGGGCACTTTGACGCCGGGCCAAGCAGCAGCCGGGCCCTTTGCTGGTTGCTTGTCTCGACACGTGGTCTGGTAACCGCGGCGGGGTTGGATCGAGGGTTGGGCTTGGTGTCATCTCAGAGGTCCTTTCCAACCCGGCTGATTCTATGATTCTGTGAAAACAAAGTGGGAGGGCACAAATGGACATAACTAATAAAAACGGTTGCTCAGCACAGCGGTGTTTCTCCTGGGCCAGCAGTGACAAGAGATTGGGTGCTATTCAGCTGCAGCTGTTGATGAAAAGCAAATGGGCCCTCAGGGGAAGTGTCGAGAGTCACACCCGTTTTATCTGTTCCCAGTTGGCCAAATATTGTTGACAGTAGTCGTAATGAAACCTCAATTAGTGGCAATACAAGAATTGCCAACTCTACAATAGCAAGCAACTCTTGAAAAAAATGGCTTCTAGTATGTTGTTTAGTGGGAAAGCGCCAGTGGAATTGAAACATTTCGTTCCATCTTGTGCTATTTCCCATCTAGTGTTTTGCTATCGCCAGTGGAAGGGACTAGAACTGGTAACACCTCTTCTTGCTCTGCCTGGTTGTTGACATGTTCCTCTTCTATGTAGCTATAAGAGTTTCCAGTTTTTCCCATTTGATAAGTCGTGGTTTGGTGACTCTCCAATATCAGACTAAATAATGAAACTAGTAAGGAAGTATGTAGTAAACCTCAGGTAGCGACTTAATCAATTTTCTAAAGCAACATTGTATTACCTGTGGACAGAGGTGAAAATATATTGGATTATGACAGTTCATCAGGCCCATTAAAGACCATGTTGGAAGAAGAAAGTGAACTGCCTACCAGAATTCTCGGTTTTCACCTTTCTCACAGGGCTCAAAACTTGCTGTAACATATAAATCATAGAATCATAGAATATGCTGAGTTGGGAGTGACCCATAATGGATTTGTTCAGTGGTGGATTTGACTGAAATATATTTCATGGAATAAAAATCTCTTTGCCTGGAAATTGACTTTTAATGAAGTTCTTTCTCTTTCATTTAAGGCTAACTACCTTTCTAAATATTCAAAAGCTCCAGCAATATGCAAATTAGTTGGAAGAAAAGTTCTTGATGGAGTTGGTCAGCCAACATTAGAAGTGGAAATATACTGTACAGTTAAAAACTATGAGAAGGTATGAGCTGTTTCTTCCTGGTTTATTTATTTGAATAGGACAATATCAGGAAGAGGTACTATTCTCACATCCCAAGGAACATTTTATTTTCCATCTTCATAAAGAGATATAAATCCCTGTGACTCAAGAGTTGAGTATTGTAACTTAGAAAAAAAAGGTGTCCTGAAAAGTTAGACAGTGGCAGCAACTATGAAAACTTTCTTTTCCATGAATTAGACAATATTTTATGAGTGGGATATGAGTGCATCTTTGTATATTAAGTTTTTATCTGTCTTCATGTAGCTTTTCCTTACACCCCATACTAGCCTTGTAAGTTCATTTTCCTTTTACCTTTTTCTTTAATTTTCATGTCCTTATATTTCTCTTTGTGTGACAGTCTTTCAGAAAAACACAGCACAGGTGAAAAGCACAGTATAAGTGAAGGCACTTTTTTTACACCAAGCTAATAGGTTGATGTGGGTGATAGTTAACTCAAACATATCCCTCCAGAACCTGCAATGCAAAATTGGT